TGCTCAGCAGCACAGCTCGCCATGTTGGCGTCAGGGGCGGTACGGCAAGCATTGTACTTGGTCTGGCAGTTGGAGGTAGCCAGAGCACCGGTGGCCAGAGCCAGGGCAAAGAGGATGTTGTTGACGCGGACCATTATGGCAGGATATTGGTGTTGGAGTGAGTTGGAAGATCGGATGAAAAGGATGAGTTGAGTGTTGGATATCCTTTCTACCCAAGGATATTATACCCTTTTTATAGTCTTTCGAATCAATGTATCCTAGAAGAACAATTCAGCGGTCAATGGCATTGCAGCTGGTGTAAGGGAGATCATCTGAAACATATTCCTGTTTGGAAAGAATGTTGTAGATCTTCAGGCACAAATATAGGTGGCTATTGGGTTTTAGGGCGGGAGCCAATTTCATGAGACATGTCCAGTGGAAAGTGGAGACTTAACTTATAGGGGGAATGAAGATTTGAACTCTTCCATGAAGACAGTGCATAAGGGGTTTCGGCCTTTGCGGAAGTGTGACCTTGCAGAATATCGAATGGCCTGTACTCTGTACGGTATAGCAAAACCCTTGCTTTCTCTCACTGGGACTATTCACAGAAACGCCAGATATCGGAGGAAGACTCGGATATTGACAGATCGCCAAAACCATTTCGACTGACTCGCAAACCTTCTAGAATTCTTATTATTTTTCCATGTACCCCACACTCCGAAATAAGGACGCATTATTAGCGGATATTATAAAACATGTCTGACCTACCCTTATGCGTTATTCACATGCTAGCTACATATGTACTAGTGCTATTTGTTTAGGGGCTAGGGCAACCTTGATGAACTGTTCAACGAACAAGAAGTCCCTCAATTCGATGGAATATTGACAGCCGTCTTGCCACGTTGACAATGAAGCTGTCTTTTTTTTTTTTTTTTTTTTTTTTTTTTTGGGTGGTGGATAGTAGTTTGTTGGATTCTATTCTCTTGCTTCTTGTTTTATTTGGATACTACGGCGAACTCGATACCTCGAACTTGTTTAGTACTGGTCATGAATAGAATATATTTTCTCGTTTAGAGCCCTATATGAATACGGAATGATATCAACACCAAGCCATTTAATGATAGTATGCTTCAAGCTATGCAGACTTCAAAACCAAGCTATGACACAAAGAATGTACATCACAATCAAAAGAAGAAAAGTGATCCCAAAGTGATCCTCCAAGAAAGAGAGATGTTGTAGGAAGGGTGGAATAGAATATCCAAACAAAGATGCAGCCTAAGCAAGCATAGGATCAGCCACCAAAGGACTCCGGATCGGTCTCGGACATCGTTCCCTGAAGACCGGATTCCAACCAGCAAACGTATTCGGAGGAGGTCTCGGTGGTGGATCTGGAGCAGCAGAGCGCCGGTATTGTAGTTGTTCTTGATCGTCAGTCCAGCTTCGCGCAGTCATGAACGTTTCGCCAGAAGTCCGCGAAGTCCTCGATATTCTTGAAGTTCTTGAATCGTCACCAATGGTAGCCCCGTCGTCATTGTTATCCTCGTCGTAATTACCAGCGGGCGCCAAGCAGCAACAGGGAAGATAGTGAGAAAGCAATTCGTAGCGCGTCCAAAAGCTCATTGTTCCTTGCGTATCGCGAGTGGTGCTTGCAGTCAGGATACTCACAGGTCGAGCAGCTTGCGCCGGTGACTGCTGCTGATAAAGCATACCCCTAGGAGGGCTGTTGGCTCTGCCAGTTCTTGAAGGACCAATTTCACCATCAACTGCTGGCACCGTAACACCGGTTCGTGGCTGGGACATGCAGCTATAGTATGAGGTGGTCGCAGGCGAAACGAGAAAAGGGGCTGACGGACGATGTCTCTGCCCTACTGCCGATAACGATGGCAGATGTGCATGGCGTGACCTCGATACATGATTCGAATGTACCCTGCGAGGCACAGCTGGCGTAGAATAACGGCTCTTGGCGACATCATGATGCTCCCTTCTTAACGGTTGAATCCCAGCATTGAACCTATCATCCAAATTGGGCACTTCCAGTTCAGGAACGGGGTAAACCACCCGATGGAATGGATGATCGTCCAATTGCCTGTGCAGATTCACACCATGCCCGCTCGCTCGATATGGGAAACGACCCTGGACAGCTGTCCCATCCTCAGCCCTTGCAAGGGTGTATGTCTGGCGTCTGCTCAGTTGTGGATCGACAGGCGAAGCAATCCCGAGAATCCTCCGCAGTGTATGTGCGTACTCAGTTGCACGTCTGCTGGGTGTCCTTTCCGGGGGCGGACTGGGAGCATAAGACCGGACAGAGAATTGTCTCGAATAGTTTATAGCTTCCGGGGAGCCAAAGGACGGAATTCCAGGAGGTGTAGGTGACCTATCAGGAGGCGGATATCGAGGGAAAAACGGTCTCACTGGTGAGAAGAGATTCGCTGCCCACCTTGGCGTTCTCGATCTGGTATCTGCATCACTGAGGCTGGCGGCCCTGCGGTGCCCCAGAAGGCATATGTTATTTGCTTTTGCTTTTGCATCCTTGAATAGCTCTGCAATAGGATCGATGGTCTTCATCTTCGCGGGATACCAATTGTCGGGCAGGGTATGGGATCGCCGCCAGCGCGATCTCGTCCTCCTGGGCTCTGTAGGGTGTTCGACGGCGGTGGGTTTCGGAGAGGTAGAGAGGAACATGGCTATATTGCCACCAAGGTCGCTGCTTTGGAATGGATAGTGGTGTTGGCTGGAGGCGTACTGTCGGCCGTTGTTGTCTTCCGTCCCGGAGGAACTTGCTTTGAGAGCGTTGTATATGGAGCCATATTCGCTCTGAGCGGATTCTGAAGATCCCGACTGAGGATTACTATCTCGGAATCTTCCAAAGTGGGCGCGATTTGAACTTTCTGCGATGATGTCCTGCTCCATTGGGAGATGGTTCTGCTCCCAATTGGGAAGGATGCTGGCGACCTCGGGGACTATGAAGCAGGACGAAAGGATAGATTAGCCGGTCCGTTAAATAAAGAAGGATAAGAAGTCTGAAAAGAACAATAAACTACTTTAGAAAGAAAGCATAGCGCTGAACGATTGGAGTAAAAAAGTTCGGAGGAAACTTGTCTGGTGGTGAGGTTGCCGCCGGCCATGGCACTTTCCCAACATGCGTTGTTCCCGAAAAAGGAAGGAAGAAATATGCACCTGGATAAGAGATTAGATACACTTAACGCCCTCAGATAACGAATGTATATAGCCTTATTCTGAGCACTCCCTGAGCAACTGTTGAGAATTGTATGTTTCTTTACAGCCACGTGATGATACAAACTTTTTGTGTCGTCCTTGGTATGGTGGCAGTTGTTTAGCCTCGAGCTGGCTCCAAATAATTATAAAATGAACCATGACCACAAAGATTCCCTTACTGGTATAGCCTGTATTGATCGAATCCGGCTCAGATTACCAAGACCTACATTTAGGGCTTTCTAGATGTAAAACCAAAACACCGGTGTATATTCAAGTAATCTATCTCACTATTCATTTCAATTGCAAGTTTTCGCTAAACAATCCATCTTGATTTGCCATGCTCGTTAAAGAGAACCATAGAACGAATTTTCTAACCAAGCAAAGAGACTAGGCTTGGGTTGGTTTGCTAGCTCTTTGGCGCTTTTCATCGAAAACGACATGGAAATCCTCCGCCAATTTTGCATCGCCATGTACTGCGAGGGTACTGCCGCACGGTATGGAATCAGCCCATTTAAGGAAATCATTCATTGTCTCGATGTACTTGGACTCGGGCTCGTCAAAATTATAAAACTTGGTGAACTGGATGTTAAGTTGGCCGTTTTGAAAGTACGCCTGGACAACACGAGCGTGTGTTGGCATGAAAAAGGATATGGTAAGGACCTGTACAATTAAGACACCAGCATTATCATATAAAATAACGAGACAAAACGGGCAACATACCGGGAAAACCATATGAAAATCGGAGCCAGATACGCCTTCATGACACATTACATGCGTCTGGGCCGTCATACCAGTCAATATCCAGCTAAGCAGCATTTCCATCTCGGACACAGTAACGCAATCATCTTTGGCCTCGTTCGTGTTCGATATCACGATCAGGCGGTGGGGTTTCTGGTCCCTGACAAACCCTTAGGCATCCTTGATATTAGTAATCTCTCTGCCGCGGTAGATGGCTCTATTATGGCCTGCCTTGGGCCCTACAGTCCTAGGTGGAAGTTCGGATGTTAGCTAGGAATTTGCATCGAAAAGAAGGAAAGGGGGGACGTACAAGAGGTACTCATAGGGACGTTCAACCTTCCTGCCGAGCGTGCGTGCATATTGAACATATGTACGCACCAGAGCATCAAATCGCAACTGACTGCAAGGGTACCGGGTGAAATCATCAATCTCAATTCCGCTTACTGCGACATTATAATCCTTGCGTGGCGTAGGTCGGAAAAACAAGTATTTGGCTTTGATATTTCTCCAGCAAAGAGGTCAAGACTAGAGAACCGTATTTTCATAACTTGAGCTTCTTCATCAGTGAGATATTGCTTATCCTTCATAGCTTGAAGACGCTGGTACAGCGTTCTGGCGGTGGAGTTTGTCATAAGATAGGCTATGACCCTAGACTGCTGGATCGGCTGAATGCCCATTTTGGTGGTTGGTATAAGACTGAAGATGTTGAAGATTCAAATCACAGAATATTGGACAGGTGAAAGTAATCCGCTCGTAGACATCTGTTCCCCTGGGGAACTGATTTGAGAAAGAGGTAATAAGAAGAAGGAATGCATGCTATTTAGCGCCAGCCTCATATGCTAGTTTCTCTTTCGGTGATGGCGGGTACGTGTTTTAAAGAAGAAAGCAAACAGAGCCTCTCTCTCATTGATAGAGGATGGCGAATACCGATGGCACGTGCCAATTAGTCATACGAGCCCTCATTCACCCCCAATATTGTGGCAGTTGTTACTTACATCCGTAGCTAATCCTTTTTTATTGGCCGTTGTCTAGACTGAGACGGATTGTCCGTGGGCGATGGAGCACAAGTACCCGGGAATCGGGATTATTCCTGACAATGAGCAGGGGTATTACTAGTACTAAGCGAGAGATTTGGAATCGTGACTAGGACAAGGGTCTAAGTGGTTTCAACTACAACGAGGATGGAATAAAACATAAAGACGAGATAGACCGCATATTGCAGCAATACCCTGGATCTCTGCAGTGATTGCCTGGCTTACCGCAGGGAAGCGCGAAGGCAAACAGCATTGCAGCAGTCATGGCAAACAAAGATTTACTTTCACTCCTAGCCTAATAGTCCTCTCTCCCTCCTTCCCTTCATTGCTCTCTCTGCCATTTATCATCTCTGTTTCTCTTGACCATTGACCATTATTTTGAATAAGTACCATCTGCTATAACCCAGAGTACACTATTCATTTAGAGTGAGCACGCACAGTCCTCTATCCCAGAACGATATAACTTACTAACCGGTATTCTAAAGCAAGCAGGTAACAGAATGCCAACCATGAACGATAGTGTCCGTTTACCACAGTCCGAGTCCCAATGGGAGAAACAAACCAAGCAGGAAAAAATTCCACCACCTAATCCCGATAACCGACACGAGATGTCTGAAGACGACCGGAAAGCCCTCCATGTTGGAGAACACCCGGCAGATCTGTCCATCCGCGAAGTGAGTGGATGGAATAGTGCGTCAGAGGTGAAACGAGCACATTATCTAACTGTCAGGATCATTTGGGGGTTTTATCCTATGCAAGAGCTGCTGGAGGAGAGACTTGAATCATATAAAATATTATCAGAAGTCAGCAGCTATGTAAACGGCCATTTGGAGAGAGAAGTCTCGGAGTTTCCTGCTTATATCAACGACATCGATACCAAGAGAGGATTGCAACCTCCACTCGGACAGGCTACACGCCTGGGATCATACACATGGATCAGACACCAGCAATTGGCAATCCTTAACCGCTCAACTTCATTGCCTGTGCCTGAACCAGGGGCATCCTTAGGCAGGAGGTCTCTAGGACTTCCCCTGAGTATGGGCGTTGATAGCACGGTGGACTCTGAAGATGATTTCGAAATGACCAATGTCAGCTTTAGTGGGAGCCTCGGTGACATGGACGAGGTCTGCGAAGTAGCTGATTACTCCTTCGCAGAATATGAGGACTCACCCCGTTCCGAAACAGAGGATCCGGTAAACATCGCCTTGATGGCGTTCCTGTCTACGCTGGCTATAAAATTCCAAAGAGCCAAACTGGACTGGGATGTTAACAAGAAAAAGTTCAAGTTTCAGCTTGGAAATGCGAATATTCGCACGATCAATGATGGATGTCTTCGCGTGAAGGACAATGGCGATGTTCTTGCTGTTGTAGAAGCGAAATATTTTCGTCTATCTGAAAACCCAGAGGCGACGTTAATGCAAATGGGTCTGGATATATTGGCTCACATCCTCGACAGTTACGAGAAAGATTACTACATCGGGAAGAAGTACGTACCAAAACCCAACGCTCAGGCTAGCAATGTACTAACATAGTAGTCTTCTAGGTTCTCCATGTTGTCTGAGCACTACGATCAGATATGGTATACACGTGCTGAATTCACAGAAGAGTACATCGACTCTTCGCGTTCTTTTCGTGTACCGGGCCGTTCTCCACCTTCAATGATGCCAACATGAAACTTCTGGGGCGCTTGGTTTTAGGCCTCGCAGTTGAAGAGAGCCGTGCCGCGCACACAGAACCACGGTGTGTACCGGAGTCATGGACCACATTTCAGAACACGTCTCCGATGAGTTCGGACCGGGGGCAGATATCGCGAGGAGATACCCAAAATCCCGGTGACTCTTCGAGCAAAGATATTTGGAGAACCAGGCTAATGCTTAGTCCTCCCACCCCCCCTTCAAGTTGAGGGTTCTTGTGCTCTTAAGTTTGTTGAAGTGTCAGTGAAGAAGGTAAGCTGCTTGCTCCACCGACAATGCGGCACTGAAATCGGACAAGACCCTGAGGTTTTCCCCGGATCTGGAGATTCGTTGGCCGGACGTTGGTATGTTTCTATGCAGTGGTAAAAAAGGAACGCTCTTTTGGGGACGTGTTTACTTTCTGCTTCTTATTCTCCGTTGTTTATGTTTCTACACGGGTTTCAATACATCCCGTCTGGAAAGCACCATGAGCATATAGACCAAAAACCCTATTTATGTGCTTGCTTCCGTAGGGTCTATAATTATTTCGCCGAGTGACAGATCTTCGAACAGTGAGAGCCCCAAAGCCCAATCATTCGCAGAAATCATATACATTAGTCTATCTATACATTCGAATCAAAACCAATATACACATATGAGAACCAAAAAATTAAGTGCAAGTCACCGAAAGAAATGTCAAAGCTATGTACGAAGAATGGGATACTGAAAATGTGGCGCCAGAAATGAACAGAAAAAATAGAAAGCATTATCGTGATCATAAAGCCGTAGTACTCCGGCTATGTTTTGCCGGCCAGCTGCTGTTGCTCTTTCTTCAGAGTACGGATCAAGTTTTCCAGTTTTCGACGCTCTTCTTGCTCGGCCTGGGAGGGGTTAGTGTTACAGGAACGCGTGAGAGGCGAGAGGGGAAAGGATAGAAAACTCACCTTTAGAATCTTGATGTTCTCAGTACGAGTATCGCGCATCATCTTCTTGAACTCGTTCTTCAGCACCATCGTAGAGGTAGTCTCGGATGTGCCATCCCGACCCATGGAGCCCGGGCTACTAAGGCCCATCCAGCTGATGCGTTCCTCATTAATCTGGGTCTCCAGCTGCTCGCAGCGATCGCGCAAGCGATCAATAACACTTTCGAACCCTTCGCGCTCTTTCTCGAACTCGATACTGGCTTTGGTCATGGATTCGTAGTCGTCTATCGTTTCGCGGAGCTCCTTCTCCAGAGTCTCCACGCGGCGCTGCAGGTTGCCGTCGCCTGGTTTCTTGGCCTTGATGGCGGCGAGTTCTTGTGCGAGCTCGAGGTTCCGGGTGTGTAATTGTTCGAACTCCTTTTGCAGGCCGGGGTTGGCGGCTGCGCGCTGGGATTTGCTACCGTATGCGCTATCGAGTTCTGCCCGGGCCATGGTGAGCTCCGTTTGAGCTCTCACATACTCGCTTTCGAGTTCTGTGAATTCCTTCTGCAGATGCTCGGCATTTGCCTCCGCTTCTTCGCGTGCTTCGGTGGCTTCCTTGACACGCGGGTCGGTCTCGTTGCGGAGCTGTTCGATGGTAGCTTCCAGCCGTGCAACTTCGCTCTGTGCCTGGGCGTGAGCATCCGTGGCCTCGCGGACCTGGCCGTCGGTTTCATTGCGGATTTGCTGAATGATCGCCTCGAGCTCGATCACTTGCTGCTCAGCCTTGGCGCGCGCCTCAGTTGCCTCCTTGACCTGCGGGTCGACATCGTTGTGCGATTGCGCGATGACGGCTTCCAAGCGGACAACCTCGCTCTGTGCTTGGGCCTGTGAGTCTGTGGCTTCCTTGATCCGGGCATCAGATTCAATACGGATCTGCTGCATTTCTTTTTCCATCTGGGACACTTGTTGCTCAGATCGTTCTCGTGTCTCAGTGACCTCTTCCGCTCTTGCATCCGCCTCTTGGTGCAGCTTTTCGATGGCGCCTTGCAGGCGTTCGACTTCACCATCTGTTTGCGAGCGCGAGGAGTTCAGTTCTTCAGCCCTGGAGTGGAACTCGGAACGGTGCTGTTCGAGTTCGGCTTCCAGACGCGCCACTTCGCTCTCAGCCCGCTCGCGCGCTTCGCGGACTTCAGCGTGCGAATGAACTTCACTCTCGAGTTGTGCCAGGACGACTCCCAAGCGGGAGACCTCAGCTTCAGCACGTTCGCGAGATTCTTTCTCTGATGTCAAGGCGCCTTCATCCACATCGTCGCGGCTGGTCGAATTTGCCTGGTGGTGTGATGCCTCCTGGCGCAGCGTCTCCAGCTGCTGGTGAACAAGATCCAGTTCATCTCTCGTGGTCTGGCCCTCCCGTTCGGAAAGCTCGTGTTCCTTGCGGGCATGCGCCAGCTGCTCGACCAGGTCAGAAATGTACGCGTCTCTTTCCGCGTCTGACTTGGAGTTGAGCTCGCGCTGCTGTTGGATCTGAGTGGTCAAGATGTCCTTTCGTTCAAGTAGACCTTCGAGACGGCTCTGGAAGCTGTCCACGCCGGTGGTCAAATACGAGAGATTCTCCTGCAGACTGCCTGATTGGGGCGGAGGAGGGAGGGTTGGGCCGCGGGAGAACCCTGATTCTGCGACGATGTGGTACATACGAGCGTTGATCTCGCGTACGTAGTCCCCAAACTCAGAGTCGTCTCCTGTTTCCGGGGCACGCGAAGCACCCCCCGAGGGCTGTGTACCAAGGACCCCCAGGCCGTTCGCAAGGTAGGATACATACGCCTCGACCGTCGCCGTTGGGTTTACCGGTCCTCCATTGTGATCAGGTTGGGGAACAGGATCCAAGTAGTAGTCGGGGTTTGCTCGCAGGATTGTGTTGCGCATTTGCGTACTCAGTTCCTCCAGCTTCCTCTCCGTGTCTTGGATTGCACCGAGACCGACAGACATTGATCCTGCACCATTTCCATGGTCCTCTCTGCCGTATCCATTGAATCTATCCAGGTAGTTGGACGTTTGGTATAAACTCCGATCATCGAAATCATCGATGCTGTCGCGAGCGTGGCCGTTGCCGTTGAGCTCAGGGGACAAAGCACCCTTCGCATTCTTCTTCAGCCCCTTGTGCGTCATCTGCAACACTCCAGCTGTATGCTCCAATAACCGCTGCTGTATGTTTTGCGACCTGCTTTCTATCTTCCACAACTCTTGAGCCAGCGCTTCGCATTTGCGCGTGCTAGCCGCAAGTTCCTCGTCCGATTTGTCGAGCGGTTCAGCATCCCCGCTGCGTCTGAATAGACTCCGGCGACTCCGGTTGGATTTTGGTGAACCGTTGTTGAAGTCTTCACTGGTACGAGGGCTCTTAGGGTTGTAGAGTTTCGAGAGTGACTTCGCGGCGTCACGGAGTTTCACCTCCAGCGCCAGTTTCCGTTTCGTGCCATCGATTCGACCGGACAGGAATGTGTATTCTTTCTTCAGTTCTTCCACCTCTTCCATAGACAAGACCTCGTAGTTCTTGCTATCCCCCATAGCGGTTTCGGTCAACATGTACATCGTAACGGGATCGTTGGCGTTGAGCAGCGCGGAGCTTCGGGGGTGCGCCTGGTTAAGCTGCGATTCCAATTGTCAGCATAACTTCCCAAGTCTATACCATGCGACAAGAAAGCCAAATTGAGGGCTGTAAATACCGGATTATACCGCGATTTCTCTTCATGTTGCGGATCAAGGCCATCTTGGTACCCATCCAGGAGTATTTTGGCCGGAGGTTGCGGAGGAACGGCGTCCAGCGATGCGGCGGACAAGTGCCTGACGTCGCCGTACGAGGACAGGCTGGACCGGACGTCGTTACCATTCATCTTTGACAGTTCAATAAATGAAAGGTATTGAAGTCAAAGTCAATAGTTAACCCCAAAAGGGGGGGAAGGAGAAAAAGGGTCACGGTTTAAGCGGCGGGGACTCGGGATCTCAGGAACAGCCGTCACACGGACATGCTCATCATGTCGTGCGTTTTTTGAAAAGGGGAGTTTTTCGTTTCTCGGGGGGATTGTAATAGTTAAGGATAGTGTTGAGTCAGGAACGAGTGGATAGCCAAGTAGTGGCAGAGACGGGAGAAAAGAGATGGTTGGAAAAAGCGACAGCGCAAAGATGAGATCTGCAAATGAGAGTACAGAAGCTGACGAGGACGGATGACAGATCCAGCAGCAGGATTGGAAGAATCAACAGAATATAAGAAAAAGAAATGCGTTTTCTGATGGATGGCAGACACTCGCCTTGACTGGTCTGCTCGGTGGGTGTCTCTCTTTCTTTGCGATTCGGAGCCATATGCATTTCCTTGTTTTCGGACGACGATGACATCTTTGTTAGTGACTATCATCAAACAGGAGAAAATACATGTATTCACCCAGCCACACTGTCAATCGCGACATATCACAGAGTAGAGTCGGCAATTGTTTATTTCTGGTACTCTGTACTTCTGGTATGGAGAGATGCATGTCATGTTGTGTTCCTGGAATCCAACCCCGGATTTCCACAGCGACTCTGAAACACATCACTGCCCGAATCCTCGTCTAATCTTGTTGCTAAAAAACATCATCTTTCTCGAATGGAATCGCATCGCTAATCTCTACTGGGCCTCCATGGGTGGCTAATTACTCCGTAGTTACTGGTAGACATATAAACAGAATATTCATTCTAAACACGAATTAAAACAGCAGAATTTCACAATGGCTAGAGACCAGCTATCTGTACATACAGGGTAAAGGACATGTCTATCATCCCATCCTAACAATACACAGAAGCCGCGACAACCGTTCAATCGCGGCCAATGCTAAGGTGTTTTAACGGCAGGCTGACACAGGAAGGGTAGAACAATTCAAAAGCGCATCGCAGCCATCCATGATATGCTTTTTCTTTTTTAATTGACTTCTGCTCCCACGTATTCCTCTTCATGTCTTTATCCCGGATAATTCGTTCGTCAACATCAGTTCGGCGTTCGAAACCATTAAGAGAAAACGTAGCGGGCATTCGGAGTCGCTTATTTGAGGGTCTTGAAGAGCTTGGGAGCGGCACACTGAGTAGCGCAGTGGGTGAGGTGGAAGACTGTAGAAGGTCGATATGTCAATATCATTTCCCCACGATATCCAAGCGCAAATCAGCATGATACGCGGAACTGGAAGAGCGGGAATCACAAAGATTGGTAGAGCAATCATCACTTACACTCCTCAACGCAGTCCTCAGCGGGACCCTTGTAGTCCTCGTCCTCCTGCTGCCGGGTCACACGCTCGACGCACTCGTCGTAGTGGTGCTTGTAGGGAGCGCACTGAGAGGAGTTGGCGCACTCTGTTTGAACCCTTGATTAGCCCCCATCCAAGTCACAGTTACAGCACAATGATATGCCGGATATGACTGCTGTCAATGGACCCGTAACCACAAATAAATTTCCCAACCGGGCAAATGGAATACCGGCTCCGACAGGTCCCCGGGGAGTCACTTCTACGCCGGCTTTCCAACTCGCCAATAGCCACAAGTCCAAAGACAGAGCAATCATTTTTCAATTGAAAGCAAATGACTTACCCTCCTCCAGCTGGGGCTTGATGTCCTCGGCCTCCTCTTCCTCCTCTTCCTCTTCCTCTTCCTCTTCCTCTTCCTCTTCCTCTTCCCCCTCCTCTTCTTTCTCCTCTTCCTGCTCAGGCTCCTCCTCAGCAGGCTCCTCGGTGCTCTCAGCGGACTTCTCTTCCGGCTCAGCCTCCTGGTCGTTGGACTGCTCGACGTTCTCGGCGGGAGCCTCAGCCTGGGCCTCGGGGAAACCCAGGGAGGAAATCATGTCGGAGAAATAGTCGGTGATACCCATCCTGTTCAATTGAGAGGGGTAATTGGGTGTTTGTTGACGGGGGAGAGGGGTGGGCGAGCGTGCGCGGGTGGGCAGCGACGACGAGCAGCGAGAGTGGGTGTGGTGGTGGGATTATTGGAGGTGGTTTTGAGCTTTCCGCTTTTGCTGCGCTGCCGGCCCAAGGAAAATCGGAACACCCCGGCCGCCGAACGACGAATGGAATTGTCGGCCACGTGATTGGCTGACGCTGAACGGGCTAACGCTAACATCGCATTTACTCAGCAGTCTTCATTCTTACAGTGGACGATTGAGCAAAACGATTGTTGTGGTTATGGAGAAATAGTTAAAGGCTGAAGAGTGCTGCACCAGCGCCATTAATGCTGTTTTCGCTACCATATCGGTCATTAAGTACATGTACACATGAGGGGCAATCGTTAGGTTCTATTAGAAAGCAAATAGCCAAACGTCAATCTTGCAGGTATAAAAGCCACCGGAGAAATCTTCCAAGATCCTCCTCTTAATAGATATCCCGGCTAGCTAGCACGGCGCAGCCTCTCCTCCAACTCATTCGCGACGCTCTGTTGCTGCACTTCCTCGTATCCCGGCGGCGGTTCCGCGGGTTCAGGGCCAGAGTGTTCAGGGCCAGAGTATGGAGGAGCGTGACTATTATGCAGTGTAGACGATGAGTCCTCGTGCCTATGACCGGCACTGCCCCCGTCTTGCGGACCGTCGTAGGCTGGTAACTCGTCCAAATGGACACCGGACATGTTGACCTCCCCTCGAGTACTCTCCGGAGAAAACTCCATGGCCTGCTGTAGGCGCTCTTTAATCCGTTCAAGCTGATTCTGAAAGTCAAACGCCCCGCCTTCTTTGAAAGTAGCTTTTACCTGCACGGCAGGTAGCGACGGCGGGATTCCACCACCAGAGACCGGCTGGACAAGAGCCTGCCAGACATTTGGTCCGAAGAAAGGAGCAGAGACATGAGAGTCACGGATATATAAAAGCGGAACAGAAAAGGATTGAAAATCTTTAGTGCCCTGGCTAGGGAGATAGACAACCTTATCCAGCCTTATCAGCAAGCGTTCACAAAAGGAAATAACCGGATAGACTTACCCGCTGATTGGTAAGATGAATATGGCCTCCGCTGCTTTGGAGAGATATCGAGTCGCTGCCCTTATATGAACCGAGTGGTTGTAACGAGAAGCCGGTCCGTGGAGGCGACTTGTAAAGCAGCTGTTCATTTGGAAGATAGACGAAACCATCTTGGTCATTTAGCATAACCCAACTGTGAACAAAATTAGCATATTTTTGGTTCTACATAAGTTTGCCCGGTTGTAAACTGGATATAGTTGACATGTAAAGCGCAATCTGATGTCGGTGTAGGGGAATCCTCGCACGTACTTGATTGACATGTTGGGTTCTTAGTAATGGACCAGTATCGATTTTCTGTGGAAAAGGAAGCCGCAGTACAGAGTATATCATAGGAAGTAAAGAGAGCTGTGGCTAGTGTGGAGGCAACGATGCATATAGTGTCGTAGTACTCCGTACTCTGTAGGTGTCGTATCACTGCGTGCGGGAGACCGGCCCCGCCACTTTTTAATGAGATCCCTGGGAGCATCAGCTGATACTGAAATACATAAATTATTCACATCCACCAAAAGCTCTTCAATCATCATACTACCATTCCACATGGCCCTACTGAGTAATTCGTTGTTTCAATATATTTATTTCTAGAAAAAATCTTTTATTTATTTTCTGGTCCTGGAGGTTCCTACTCCACATGTCTCCATTTCTTTAACTATATTGTGTATCGTAATCTCTCCAACTGAATCCTCGACCATGTTTTCAACAATGATTTGTGTTTCAGTGTGCTCGGTTCTTTGGAAGCCAGAATACTAACTATCGTCACAGCTAGTAACAACCATCCGCCTTTATGCCACCCACTGGGCAAGCTACTTGCAGACTACATTACTACCACCAAGAACGGATACCCCTCGGAAAAGGAGCTGCATAGGTCAGTCCTTTTGTAATGCCACGAAATTACTCTGTACTCTTGAAGAGTATACTCCCATAACCTCATGCAATTCTCGCATAAACTTTTCCTGGGTGGTGGAGGCATGGCAGTGGTTACATCGTCGACCAGGTTGACTTGACCCTGCAGTGGCAGGAACTTGCAGAGGCTTCTCAGGAACTCGACTGTATCATCCTGGGGAGATCGGTAGCTTTCTGGTCGAGATTCCATGGATGTAGTAGGTTCCAGGATACCTGTAGTTTGATTCGAGCATATCGAATAGTTGGGATTGTCTTCTCTCGAGGGGTTTGAAAACCCCATTGTTAGCAGCGGATAATGGATCTGTTCACGAAAAAACGGTTGATATTTCCGCAATTGTGCAAGGTGAAAAAGAACCAGAGGCAAAATGAATAGAGAAGGATATTCCTAATCCGAACCCTTGGGAGTACTGTCTACATAGTATTATGCATAATGCAGGTAGACGTTACGGATTGGTTCCATCATGCCGATTGCACCACCTGAACAGGGGCATACAGGGCATATAGGGTATACAGGGGTATACAGGGGTATACAGAGTAACAATAATCGTAGGGTTTATTTATTTTTCTCTCAATGCTAGACAGGTTGAGGTTGCAATTAGGCTGCTTGACGCGGTGGTTCTAGAAACGTCGCAAGTCACTAGAAGCGCCCGTCGAGAAGGGCGCAACCAACCGCTTTTCCTGCTTCCCCCCACCAGCCAGACCGGAATTACTTCATCACCACCTACTCTTTCCTAATATTTATGCATGGCTCCCCAACAGCATTGATTGTTGGTTTTTCTCCTATCGCAGGAGGATATCCACTTTTCAAGTCACTGTGAGTACCTTTTCACCTCGCGAATATATCTCGTTTCCATCTGTTTTTTTTTTTTTTTTTTTCGCTGGACTGAAGCTAATCATTGCCTTGTGATATTCAGAGCAGTCAATGTCGGTATCGTCGCGTGCTTCCTACATACTATCCTCAGCAACGATTCGGAACAACCAATATCTCTGAAACTGGCTTTAGCAATCGCTCTGTCCCTGGTCAGAGTTTTTACGACCGAAAGGCCGGTGGTGACGACTCCGGAGGACTGAGCGGGAAAACACAATCACCATGGCGGTCAAACAACCGTATATCCCTCCTCTGATCAGCTGGTTGTATGATCTGGTGTTATGGACCTTCTCTGTGCTCATTGACCTGTTCTTCCGCGAGGTTCATCCTCGCGGTTCTTGGAAGATTCCTCGCAGAGGTCCGATGATTATCGTCGCAGCTCCCCATGCGAACCAGGTATGGCTACATGCTTCTATCACTCTGTTCTGTTTTTGGTCGACTGCTAATTATTTCGTTCTATAGTTTGTCGATTCGTTGATTCTCATGCGCGTTATGCGCAGCGAAGCTCAACGTCGCATCTCATGGCTTATCGCAGACAAATCCTTCCGGCGCAGGTTCATCGGAATGCTGGCCAGAGGTATCGGAACCGTGCCAGTCGCTAGAGCAATGGACAATACCAAACCGGGCCAAGGGACAATCTATTTACCAGACCCGGTTAACCACCCTACTCTGATCCGTGGAATTGGCACCAATTTCGAGGCTCCGGGCTACGAAAAAGATGGCACCATCGCTCTGCCTACCATCAACGGCACGTCGCACAATACGGCCATTGCTGAAATTTATGGCCCAGAGGAACTCATCATCAAGAAGGTCTTCAAACACAAGGACGCTCTCTACCAGCTTACCGGACGAAAAGACATCACGGACGATGGAAAATTCACCGGGGATGTATCCGACAAGGACCTGAAAAACTTCCAGGGCTCGAAGTTCAAGTTTTCTCCTCACGTGGATCAAACAGCTGTCTACCAGGCCGTATTCAGTCGACTCAACTCGGGCGGTTGTGTTGGCATCTTCCCGGAAGGTGGTAGCCATGACCGTTCTGATCTACTGCCATTGAAGGGTACGTTATTTGTTGCACTAAAAACTTTTTTTTTTGTTGAATCTTCTCCACTAACTCTACTTCTTTTCTAGCTGGTGTGGCAATGATGGCCCTTGGTACTTTGGCAGACAACCCGGACTGCGGCTTGAAGATCGTTCCCTGCGGAATGAATTATTTCCATGCGCACAAATTCCGGTCCAGGGCCGTGATTGAGTTTGGAACTCCCCTCGAGGTTCCGAGGGAATTGGTCGACCAGTATAAGCGAGGAGAACGGCGCGAGGCTGTTGGTGCCTTGCTGGACATCATCTACCAGAGCCTCGTTGCTGTTACCGTGACTAGTCCTGACTACGAGACTTTGATGGTTCGTTCCTGATATTCCTGTCTCTTCCTTCATGACAAGTATAGCTAATCAGTGTGCCACAGGTTATCCAAGCCGCACGCCGTCTATATAACGTCAAGGGAAAGAAGCTCCCGCTTCCGATGGTTGTAGAGCTTAACCGTCGCCTCGTAAAGGGATATACTCACTTCAGAGATGATCCCAGAATCGTACATCTCCGAAAATCAATTGCGGCCTACAACAAGCAGCTCCGTCTCCTGGGCATTCGGGACCATCAAGTTGATTATGCAAAGTTCTCTATCATACAAGTTGTTGCAACTCTGATCTATCGCTTGATCAAACTGGTTCTGCTGACGATTGGAACTCTGCCTGGCTTGCTCCTTTTCACTCCCGTTTTCATCGCCACCAAGTTCATTTCAATCAAGAAATCCAGGGAAGCGTTGGCAGCATCCTCAGTCAAATTGCAAGGACGTGATGTTATGGCGACATGGAAGCTCCTCATTGCTCTCGCGTTTGCCCCAGCGGTCTACGCTACTTATACGGCCGTCTTTACGTACTGGACTTACCGTAACCGGATACAAGGATTGGTCCCTACCTGCGTTCCTCTCTGGTTGATTGTGCCGATTGGGATGATTCTGTTCCCCACTGTCACCTTTGCAGCGCTGCGGATCGGTGAGATTGGTATGGACATTGTCAAGTCTCTTCGACCACTTGTGCTGTCCTTGAACCCGTCCTCGGTCAATACGTTGGTAAGACTTCGTCACAGACGTGCCGCACTTGCTCAGCAGGTCACGGAGGCCATCAACACGCTGGGTCCGGAGCTGTTCCCTGACTTCGATGCTGCCCGGGTTATCACGGATCCGTTCCGGGAGATCAGCCGGACCGACGGGAAAACCAGCGATCCCATTTCACTTCCGGAAATCAGACGGACCAGTACAATCGACTACAATGAAGGGTCTGTCACACAGGAACCACTCCCGCGCAATGAGTCGTTCCATAACCTTGCCAACATCGGCTTCTTTTCGACCCGACCTGCTAGCCGAAGTCGCAGCCGCAGCCATAGCCGGAGCAGCTCCATTGGTGCTCGACCTGGCTCTTCTGGAAGTCATCTAAGGCCGCTGAGTCAATTGAACACCACCGGTGATTTCGAGGAAGTAAGTTCGAAGATTCGGGATGCCATGAGGGAGCGTGGCGAACGCCGACGTCGACGGAGCGATGATGGCAGCTGGGACATGGCCAGCACTGGGACTAGTACGCCATCTACTCCGGACGATGGAAGTCGAAAGAACATTTGAATGATGTACCACGGCTTTTCTTTTTGTGTCACTATTTTTTCTTTTCCGTCTTTTCTCTCCTTGATTAACACCCATACCATAGCCGCGGTGTTTGGCGTTGAGCAGTGTAAACGAAAATGACTGTAATTATTCTCATGGTTTACTTGATATCCTTATTGTTATCCTTAAGAAAAGACGTTGGGATCCCTAGCCTTTATGTACGGAGTACAAGTAACTAGAAGTACACCCGGGGATGCGCAGAGCCAAGACTGGTACAGCAACGTTTCGTCCCCGGAATACACGTGCGGAAAATACATCACCAGCGTTCGTTGTTTGTCCGAGTCTGTTTCTCTTCCTGTTCGTCAGATTCAGTCCACATACAAATCCGGACAGAAGAGGAGTACATCAACGTGCTGTCATTCCAACTTTCCCGCAATTGGTTGTGGCCATCTTGCCTCTCGCCCGCTTATCACCCAAAATTAGAAAACGCCCTGGAGAACAAACAGTGTAGCCTGATGGACACAGCCTTTTTATCGTCATCTTTCTTACTTTGTCTCTGACAGGTCTGGGCTGTGGTGTTTTTCAATCCTTCCTCTTTTATTAAAAAGGCGCTAGTCTCGACGCAGAAGAAGCCTTTCGCAACGTCGCCTCCTCCGTCCGCGAACGTTTCCCGCCTCATCATCGCCCACGTTTCGTTCAAATAATCCCTATTTCCCTACGATCGCCACCGATTTTTCATTTTTATATTATAATACACGACTTGACGAATAACCATGGCTACATCAATGCACCTGTCTCGACTCCGGAAGTGGTTCCTCGCGTCGCCTCCGATCGAATACGCCATTTCGCATCTCCGAGAGTTGCTCGTCGGAGCCCTCAAGCAGGGCCCTATCCCTCAACATGTTGCCTTTGTTATGGATGGAAACCGGAGATTTGCTAGGACACATGGGATTGAGACTGTGGAGGGACATAATTTGGGATTTGAGGCGTTGGCAAGGGTAGGCTTCACCTGCTTCCTCTTGCTTCTAGGGAAGTTGGCTAATTTATGTTGCCCGGCATCTAGATTCTCGAAGTCTGCTATAAGAGTGGAGTGAAAGTCGTCACCATTTATGCGTTTAGTATCGAGAATTTCAAGCGGTCCAAGTTCGAGGTTGATGCGTTGATGGAAATGGCCAAAGTGAAGCTGTCCCAAATGGCACAGCACGGCGACTTGCTCGATAGCTACGGCGCAAAGGTCCGGGTATTGGGTCGATTGGATCTCCTCAAGCCCGATGTTCTCGAGGCTGTCAACCGAGCCGTGGATATGACGAGTCGGAATGGCGACCGCGTCCTGAATATCTGTTTCCCCTATACGTCGCGCGATGAGATCACCACTGCCGTCCGAGATACGGTTTCCGAATACAGCAGACCATTGAAGCCGATCCGCTCCCCGTCTACAGGTCCACGCACTCCATTTTCGGAGTCGCATATTGCTCTCAACATTCAAGCGCAGAGGACGGACCACAATAGTGATACGGAGTCTACTTCGGGATCTTCGGAGGACGGGGATGGGAACGCTAAGCAGGACCGCAATCGCAACAAAGTCTACGAATCTGGATCTTCTTTCTCCTCATCTACGACACTCCACCTTGGGCAACAAGATGGGCCCAACACCAAGACCTCGACGCCGTTGACGGAAGGGACGGATACGGATAGCCCGGCCTTCGTGTCCCCGGAAACCGTCTCGCGCCAAACATTAACCGATCACATGCTTACGAAAGACAACCCGCCGCTGGACGTTCTCGTACGGACGTCGGGGGTAGAACGCCTTAGCGACTTCATGCTTTGGCAATGCCACGAGGACACAGAAATTGTGTTCTTGAACGTCATGTGGCCCGAGTTCGACCTGTGGCATTTCATTCCCGTCTTGCTGGGATGGCAGCGACGCATCTCCAAATCGAAGCAGAACCCGGATGCGGAAGGGGACTTTGATGGAGAGGGGTCCGAGCCGGCGGAAGAGGACGATGGAATTGTCCTTCGTCCGGACAACAAGGTGAAGGGCATGTAAGCCATGCCTCTGATGTGCTTGTCGAGAGAAAAGGAAAGAAAAAAAACAACTCGCATATAGCATACGTCTATGGGGGAGTTTTACGGAGTTTGCTTTTGGTGAAATTGACCATTGATATCCCGCGTGTTTTTGTTATCTATTTACCATGTTTGCTGTGACTTGTCTTTACGGATACTGCTGTATATTACTACAACTGATTGTGCACAATATATATACAAATCTATCCTGGACTTTTGGATATTTAATGCCTCAGGTGTATACACGTGATCATGACTCATCCCACACTGCGGCGGGGAACATCGGAGGCGTTTTGGAGATAAGAATTGAGAATTGGATTCACCACTTCCCTCCCTCTATACCTTTGTATCTATATCCAATTGCCCATAGTCATCATGGTTAACCAAGTCGCTGGTTCCAAGGCCCTCCTGCTGGGCTCTGGCTTCGGTATGATACCTTGCTCTCATGCCTCTGGGGATGCTATACATCCAGTGCCCCGCATGCGAAAAAGTTGTTCTCTGAAGAATGATGCTGATTGATTTTATTAAGTCACCAAGCCTACCGTTGAGGTTCTCAGCAAGGCTAATGTCCAGGTCACTGTTGGTAAGTGCATTGAGTTCTGTCTCGTCAATTGGAGCGTACTCGAACCCAGCTAATAAACCCCAGCCTGCAGAACCCTCGAGAGCGCCCAGAAGCTCTGCGAAGGCTTCGAGAACACCACTGCCATTTCCCTCAATGTCAGCGATGACAAGGCCCTCGACCAGGCTCTCTCGCAGCACGATGTCGCCATCTCCTTGATCCCCTACACCTTCCACGCCTTGGTCATCAAGTCGGCCATCCGCACCAAGAAGCATGTTGTCACGACCTCGTACGTTTCTCCTGCTATGATGGAGTTGGATGAGGAGTGCAAGAAGGCTGGTATCACCGTCATGAACGAGATTGGTCTGGACCCTGGTATCGACCACTTGTACGCTGTCAAGACCATCTCTGAGGTGAGTTACACTTCACTACAAGCCCAGGGCTAGATAACTAACGACACCAGGTCCACGCTGAGGGCGGCAAGATCAACTCCTTCCTCTCGTACTGCGGTGGTCTCCCCGCCCCCGAAAACTCCGACAACCCTCTGGGCTACAAGTTCTCCTGGTCCAGCCGCGGCGTTCTCCTCGCCCTCCGCAACGCCGCCAAGTTCTACCAGGACGGCCAGGCCGTCTCTGTCGACGGCCCCGAGCTCATGGCCACCGCCAAGCCCTACTTCATCTACCCAGGCTTCGCCTTCCTCTGCTACCCCAACCGCGACTCCACCCCCTTCCGCGAGCGCTACGAGATCCCCGAAGCCCAGACCGTCATCCGCGGCACCCTGCGCTACCAGGGCTTCCCCGAGATGATCAAGTGCCTTGTCGACATCGGCTTCCTGAGCGACGAGACCGCTGACTTCCTCAACGCCCCCATCGCCTGGAAGGAGGCTACCCGCCAGATCTTGGGCGCTACCTCGTCCGACGAAAAGGACCTCACCTGGGCGATCTCGTCCAAGACTGCGTTCGCCAACAACGAGGAGCGCGACCGTATCCTCGGCGGTCTCCGCTGGATCGGCCTCTTCTCTGACGAGCAGATCGCTCCCCGTGGTAACCCACTCGACACCCTGTGCGCTACTCTCGAGAGAAAGATGCAGTACGAGCCCCACGAGCGTGACATGGTCATGCTGCAGCACAAGTTCGGTATCGAGCACAAGAACGGTGAGAAGGAGACTCGTACTTCCACTCTCTGCGAGTTCGGTATCCCCGGTGGATACTCGGCTATGGCTCGTACCGTTGGTATTCCCGCTGCTGTTGCTGTTAAGTTGGTGCTTGATGGTACTATTAACAAGACTGGTATCCTTGCTCCCTCGGACATGGAGATCTGCGGTCCTCTCCTCAAGGCTCTCAAGGCCGACTACGGCATTGAGATGATCGAGAAGACCATCTAAGCGGACGTAGTATAATGATGTAAGATGTTATCTAAAAAATATCTACGGCATTGGAAATAAAAGTACGATTATGAAGACAACTTTTAACGTTCTACTCCGTAAGAATCTCATTATCGAGTGATTTATGATTTCTTCATGTTATGCTTCATCAACTTCTATCGTAGAATCGTATCGTTGAACCATACCCGTAGCCAACAGGACCGAGAAAAAGAAATTCATGGAGAAGGAAAAGATCAAAGCAGATTATAAAAATTGTACTGCTCTCAAAGTCCAACTGTTCAGAGAAATGCAAAACGTTCCAGTTTCATTTATAGGACGAGTAATCGACGCAGGCGGTATGATGGGCTATGGGCTTGTGGAGTGATTTCACAAGGCTTCCGCGTGCTCATGGAGACGTTCAGAGAATAGTGCCAAACCTATACCGAGAAGAACGAGGACAAAAATCAGCAACTGATTCCAAATATTTGAAAAACGTGAAGGAGCAGATCTGGAAGGGAAATGTGAGGAAGCAATGGCTACCAAACGAGGGGGAAAAGAACATACCCGAAAGTCTGCTTGATGCTGCGCACATAGTACACCTCCCAATTCTGCTTGGTGACGTCCTCCTGACCAACAGGGACACCGGTCCAGGTGACGCGCATCTGAGTAACACCGTCCATGTCGTTCTGGTCGAAGTTGATCTCCAGAGTACTGAAGTGGCCCTCGGGCCACTGGGCCAGACGCCACTTCTGTTCGATCACTTTGTGAGGCTCTAGCTTCGAGTACTCGCCGACGACATTGCCGTCAAAGATGGAGAACTTTGCACCGACATTGCTACCTTCGAACTGGCGAGGGGGGGCGCGGGTGAATGCGGCGATGCGCTGCGGGTCTGTGAAGGTGCTGTACAGTTCTTCGGCGGTGGTGCGGAACTCATCCGACGCGGTCACGGTGGTGGTGTTAACGGCGACCTTCTTGTTGGATGATGTGGTGGTGGTGGTGGTGGAGGCCGGGGCTTCCTTCTTGGCCTGGGGGTAGCTGGCAGCAGGCTTGAATCCGCTGGACGGGTTGACACCAGGGGCGTGCTGAAGGTCCTTTCCGTGCTCATGGATCAGGGTTGGACACAATTGGACCAGCGATTTTCTGAGCTGAGGGGTGATCTTGGAACGGACAAGATCCTTTACGGGTTGTTTCGAGGGAGACTCGGAGTGGATGTCGATCTCAAACTAATCCCCGACCGACCGTCAGTCTTGGGCACGGAAGGCTTTAATCTAATGGGCTAAGAGGGAACATACGACATACTCATCCTCCTCCGTGTCGTGGGCGACCTCAGGGACAGAGATGGTACCACTAACCAGCTCCTCGTCCTTGGTCTTACCTGTCGACGGGTCTTAGCCGTGTGTCTCTAGGGTGAACGAGGCACAGACTACAAACCTTCATACTCAAACTGTACCTTAACGTCGAACAATGTGATGACCTTGCCCTTTCTCTGGCTGACATCCACATCGCCGTCCATAGTCAGTACTTTGGAGATATTTGCAGCGACGCCATTCTCCTCGGCGGCAATCCCAACGAGGTTGTTTTCAAGATACTGCCTGGCCCAGGATGAAGCATCCTTGTTCACCCAGTGCCAGTTGTTGGGGTTGTGGAGGACCATGATTAACGGATAGTATTCGGGTAACGAATTTTTATTCTAACTCGCTAAAAGGTCTGCTATACGGCAGTTTGTTTGTGTTCTCGATATGAGCAACAGGAAGGTTCCGTCGAAAACTGTAGGTTCTGTTTCATCATTGCGAGTTAGCAAGAATCTCGACAAGGATATGAAGCAATTGATGCAAGAGTAGCAAGAAATTCAGGATCGCGGGTAGCGTTCCCGGACTGAAAGCTAATCAACAGCGACAGCTCTAAAAGACCGTCTGTGTCTGACTGGTGCCAGCTATGGAAAACTCATCATTCGAGGGGCAGAGCGCGGGACAATTGAATGCCACCGCCAACAGGGGAGAGAGGAGAGCAACTTACAGTCACAATTCAGGTCCTGACAATAGACGCTGTGAAAGATGTAGATCAATCAATGCTGCTGTAGAGAGGAAGAAGCAGAAGCAGAAGCAGAATCAGAGATTTACCGGGTTGGAGGGGGAAATTTGCTTAATAAACCCATCTGCTGTTCTGTGCGGAGGAAAGAAGAAGAGAAAAGAAGAGTTTTTTATGTCGAAAGGAAGCCTCTAGAACCCGCTCTGCACGTGACGCGCCAACCATAATAAGACTAGCGCCTATTTCCATATCAGGTATAGCCAATATCAACCCTACTGTCACTGCGTGAGAATAGATGTCATTCACCCTTCACCTTCACTTCCCACCCATACCAGTGGCAATGTAGCTTGGATACAGTCACTTACTCTTCCGGGACAAAACCGGAGCTAAAACGTGCAGCGGCTTTCTTCGTATCTTCCTCCCTCCCCACGTCGAGTAACTTGAGATTCCTACTTTTGCTTCCCCCCCTCCCCTTTCATTTTGGCCTGCATGCTACAGGTTTAAGCTTTTCAGCAAGAACGTAAGTGTATCTACTTTTATTGAGCTATGAGAATGATATTAATGGACTCACAAAGCCTCCACGCTATTTTTGCAGCCGCCCCAGTTCCTACTTTCTTCTGCTGAGAATTACGCAACTCCACGAATATTAACGTAATCCACGGCCGAGCCGTCCACACGGCCGTCCCGTCCACTTCCTCCGCAATTTTCCAACAATCATACTTCAACGCGTCATTTTGTCACCACCATCATCTAAAATGCCTCTTTCTCAAGAAAATCGAATTCAAATGGCCATCAGCGCGTATAGAAGCAAAAAAATTCAATCAAAATCAAAGGCAGCAGCAGTTTTTGGGGTGCCAAAGTCTACTTTTATTAATCGGCTTGATGGAATCCAACCACGTTCAGAAACACGTGCCAGTGGCCATAAATTGACTGCCGTTGAAGAGGAA